ATAGAAGCAGAAGACAATAACTAAAACTAATTGCAGAATAACCTCAGGGGAGCTATTTAGATCAATGTTACCCAACCCCAGCAACTTCAATATGTGTGGACTCCAACTTCCAGAATTCCCAAATACAAAACCTAACACCCTATATATAGTTTAGGCAACCAAATTAAAGCAACTAGAGAATAGTTTGTCCAGCCTACTCACCATCTCTCTGGGAAACTGGTTTTATTGCTAAGATGCTCTTAAGAGCATTTGGCTGGAATATGTTTCCTGTTATTGTAGTCCATATCCAGTGGTCTGGATTTTTGGCCTATTTTTATGAGATACATCCTACGGACTGGTACCCATCAATGGCCTGTTAAGAACTGGGCCACACAACTGGAGGAGTGAGAGAGCAAATGAAACCAAAGCACATAGCTCCCCATTCTGTGGACACATTGTTTTCCACAAAACCAGACCCCAGTAACAAAAAGATCAGGGACCATTGTTTTAGATGATATATCTGAAAATCAAGAGATAGGCTGGAGCTAGGCTGGATTCTAGTCTCCCCATAACCACGGAAACTTCCTGGGTGTCTTTGGGCCAGTCATATATGCCTAATCCACAGGGTTAGTTTTGGTAGAAGGGATGCTATCTACGCTGTCTTGATTTTCTGAAGGAAAGATGGAATAGACATTTACTAAATTAATGAAAAAAGAAAACTTATCAATATTTACCTCCCAAAACCACACATTCCCAATTCTTTTAATTTCCCTTAACAGGAAGACAATTTCTCTTAACCGTTCATGTTGTCCTTCTTTCAACCTATTTTTGTATCATATTCTTAAAGTATGATACCTGCCCAGAATTGAATATAACATTTGGGGTGTGAGTTTAGTCAAATCACACACAAGTAGAATTATTATTTCTCTTGATTTGGAAATGACATTTTTGTTGATGAAGTTAAGATTATATTTGCTGTTTTAACAGGTACTCTTCTGATTCACATTCAAGTTGTAGTGTTATTCAAGTATTATTGCCAAGCCAGGATCCCTCATTTTATGCCTGAGTGTTTCATTTCTGTTTCTTAAGCAATGAACTTTGCAATGAACCAATGGGACTGTGGGATAAAGCAGGGGTTGGGCTATCAGGAAGTCAATTCTGCTATTTGCAGTCAACTCATCATAATCTATTAAGTTGTTATTTTTGTCTTCTAGGATAATAATTTCATATCCAACATTTTGGAATGGCTTGGGGTCCCAAAGGAACATCTATATTAGAACCAGTTAGGGATTTATGGCTCAGGGGAAATCAGTGTTATTTTGCTTTATACTTTGGGAGCATATTTTTTTTATCAGTTTTTGTTATTAAAAAACTAGAAAGATGACTAAATTGTATTTCAAAACACTAGGTTTCCACTAGTTACTACAGGAGGTGTCCAAGAGTTCCCATCTCCATTTTCTCTTCCTTGTTCTCTACCACTTCTTGGAATGAGCATATGAAATCAGTACAGAAATAGGAGCATGGAAAAAGGGATGTTAAAGAATTACAGTTAAAATGACCCTTCATTGCAAATAATCTATCTTTTCTGAAGCAATTTCACCACAGAATCTAAAGTCTGAGACTATACGCAAGTTTACTGATAACGTAGATACCTAGATACAGCAGAGCTGCTTTTTCAGCTCTTGATTTTAAGGAAGACATAATTATTCACATTCAGAATCATTCAATTATTCCTAATCTTACTAGGAACAATTCTGATCACCCCCAATCCCTGGCTAGGTTGGGTTAAAATATTTGTATTCTGATTAGACCTGGAAATGGGTGGGAGAAGGACAACTCTTGCCCATTCTTGATTTATATTCTTCTTCTAAAGATGGCGGGGTAATTGATCTTTTTCTTGAATTCTTATTGGGGGAAGAGAAATGATGCATCTGTTTCTTACTCCTAGATTATGCATGAACCCAATGACCCAGCTGCCAGTGCTGCATGCTGATCCTGCTGAGATGGAAGTACCAGAGAATGTGTCTATATCACAACTTTGGCACAGCTGTAGGTTAATAGACAACCAGGAGGAAGGCTTCATGCCATGAAGATGAAATGGTGTGTTTCAGACCTAACGGGACTGTGGGATAAAACAGGAGCTGGGCTATCAGGAAGTCAATGGCACAAGGCAATACAACATGTTAGCAAAAAGACAGAAAAGCCACCCAGGGGAAGAGAGGAGAAACAGCCTAGGGCAGGTTTACATTCATTTTCTTTGCCAACCTGTCTAACGTCAGCAAATGTTGCAGACAATGGAAGAAAAATGGATTGAGAACAAAGAAAATGAAAAACAGGAAGACCAGAATAAACTTCTTGATGCATTTAACTAAAACTATTTTTTCCCAAAAAAGCAACGAAAAGCCTAAAAATATGCTATTCCTATTATCATAACTACCACCACTAACAACATAGTCTCCATGGTCTGCAGTCTTGTTCTGTCCATGTATTGGGAATGTGTAAGAGATAAAATTAAAAAATATAGAGAGTAGGATGATTTTTCCCCTTATTTTTTCAGTGGGGAAGGCTAGAATAAATTCAATAAATAAATTAAAAATAATAAATAAATAAGTGACAAAGGAAGGAGTAAAAAAGCAAAAAGCAAGTAGAATGACTAAAAATGCAATTTTCCTTCCTTCCTTCCTTCCTTCCTTCCTTCCTTCCTTCCTTCCTTCCTCCCTCCCTCCCTCCCTCCCTCCCTCCCTCCCTCCCTTCCTCCCTTCCTCCTCCAGGAGCTGTGATAGCAGAATGGTTAAAATGCAATATTGCAGGCTAATTATACTGACTGCCAGCAATTTGATTCTCACCCGCTCAAGGTTGACTAAGCCTTCCATCCTTCTGAGATAAAATGAGAAACCAGATTGTTGGGGGCAATATGCTGACTATGTAAACAAACTCTGTAAAGTGCCATGAAGCTGTATATAAGTCTAAGTGCTATTGCTATTTCTTTCCTTCCTCCCCCTCCCCCTTCCCCCCTCCCCCTCTCCCCTTCCCTCCCTTTCTTTTTTGAAAGAATTAAAGCAGTGTTGGGGGATGATGAATCCTATAGTGGAGCTGATGCAATGATGGGATTCAAATAATTTAACAACCGGTTCTCTGCCCTAATGATTTCTTCCAACAATCAGTTCACCAAACTGCTCAAAAACATAACAACTGGTTCTCCCAAAGTGGTATGGCCTGGCTGAATCCCACCATGAGCTGATGCTCTCTGAGCTTGGTTATTTGTATGCAGACATTTCATTACCTGGCTAAATAACATCAGTGCATGGGAGTGTGGAATTCACTCTCTATTTCTACTGTATATTGTAGCTCAGTAGCTTGCCCTGCCAGTGTTTGTAGGGGTGTGGTTTCCTCCTTGGTAGTTGATGGTTGATTGATTAAGGTATTGTTTCCCCGCTTGATTGTTTGCCTGGTGTTAACCCCTGCTTATCTGTTGTGTTGGTTGCTGGAGAATGCATTCTGATCTTTTTGTTTCCTCCTTAGCTTCTTATTGTCTATTTTGAATGGTGTATAAATGTGGTTTCTCTCTACGGCTGATCCATCTGAATGCTAAATGTCTAGAAATTCCTAAGTGGTTTTGGATTTAGTTTGGTCTAGGATGCTCAATATGCCAGTTAAAACTATGGTTGAGATTAAAAAGTTACAACCCATGGTCAGACTGTCCAAAACATATGGACTGGACACATAGATAACACATGGACTTGAAGAACATAGAGCTCATCCCAATAAGTGAATGGGGGAACAAGACTTATGCAACACATCAAACTTTTTCAGGTCCATTATCAAAAGAAATGGCCCTCAGAAACCTGTGCCCTAGTTTCTTGAAACAATATCATCTATATATATTTCACCTCATGACTAAAATTATAGGGAGGAACCTTGATTATCTGGAGGGATTTAAAATGTGTCATTGAAATATTGAGATGGTACATTAACATATCCTAATTTACTGGATGATGCCTTTAAATCACTGCTTCACAAAAGGAAGGAATCGTTCTAAACTAAGAAAGCAAAGCTTCCATTAACTAGCCACAGACAATTCAGAGGACTCATGAATGTAAAGCATATCTCCATAAAAGCAAATTACAAAGAAAATGGCTTGCCAAAGGAAAATATGCAAATGTAAGTTTTAAATGCTATTAGTGAAATCTGCACGGTAAAGATGGCTTCACTGAGTGGAATGAAAACCTGATTTCACTTTGGGGCAAGGTCAAGGATGTGAACTATATCCTAGAGGCCCCAGAATATTACTTTTAAAATCTTTAACTATACAAATCCAGATCGCTACAAAAGTTGTAGTTTTCCATATGAATTTGCATAAGCTTTACTAATCACAAGAAGTAAGGTATTTGCTGTAATGGTAGCAAAACTCTGGATTTTTGATTATTTTTATTCAATAAAAGTGTTTCACCATCAAGTTATCTTATTTAGTGTTAATTTTGGATAATAGTAATATAGATGCTTCTAACCAAAAAAATCTGAGACTTAATTTAAATCATAATTTCCGATCTAAATTAAGGACCTAGTTGATTAAACATACCGATAGTTCATTCCAATTCTGAGGAACTAACTTGAAGGTGCAGCCAGCAAAATAGATTTTCCTTTCTAGAGTCTGTTTCCCAGTTTCACAACTAATCTTATGTTATGTTCGTACACTGTGCTAAAACAGAGTGTAGTTCATTTGACTTTTGGCTTAATTTGCCAAGGGAAAGCCAGCTAATACAATGTATGAAGCCAATCTATTATGTTTATTCTTATTTATATAAGAACATATTTATATGGTATAAACAAACCATATATGGTATTAACAATGGGCGCGAATCAAACGCCTATGTCTACCCCAGTGAGAGAAGTCAAGTTGCATTATTTTCATAAGTGATGCCTACTTTACAGAACAAAAATGTTGACAGAAGACAGAAGTGGCTGTCCACACTATAAAGATAGAAAAATGGAGAACAAAACTAGAGAAATACAGGTCTTACAGTCAGATGTTATTTCATAGGGGGAATTGAGGCGTGCATCTCCACAAGGTGATGTGCTCACGTATAAATGGAACAGAATGTTCTCTTTTAGCCTGTAGCCTCCCTCTTTTAACCGCACAAAGATTGATCGTTCGCTGTCTTCTTGTTGTCTGCTAGGATCACAAAGAAAGGTTGCAGGTTATTTTTTACATTCCAAATCAGAACTAATTCTTTTCTCCCTATGGGTTAGCTTTCAGACTCTTTGTTATATTCTCTTTTTGATATCTCATATAAGTTCTCTCTCGCAGATGCTTTTAATGAACTCCACAATATCACAGGGAATTAAAAATCTTTAGCAATCTATCTGATGAACAATTCAACTAACAAAAATGATAAGAAATATCACAAAATTTGTTATTATTAATTCAAACAATCACAATCACTTCTGACTGAAACATGCTTTTTAAAAGACAAATTATGCAAAATGTAAAAGTTGAATGGTTTGCAAAATTCTGTAACAACATTTAATCTAACACAACCAGAACAATTTGTCACCCATTTCAGCTTTTGTGTCATCTATAGCAGCATTACATACTGGTCACAGTTTATGGAGATTCTCAGTTATGCATGTCATGGTTGCCCCAAAGGTGATTTTTTTCAAGAGGCAACTGGACTCCCTGTTTTTTTCTTTGAAGACATTTTGCTTCTCATCCAAGAAGCTCTGAGCTGAAAAAACTTCTTGGATAAAAATGAAATGTCTTCAAAGAAAAACAAAAAAGTCCTGTTGCCTCTTGAAAAAAGCACATTTGGGATACTGGTCACAGTTGTTTTGCAAATTCAAGAAGAAAGTTGATTCAAAGAGATGAGTGATCATATGGTTCTGTTCTTTATTAACAATTTTAAAAAAATATTTCAGTAGTAGATAGGAACTGGGAAACTGTAGATAACCTAAGAAGCATAACTGATAACTATTATTTTTATGAATAGAATAGTAACAACAGCAATATTCAAATGTCACAATGAACAACAGCCAACAGCCATGATGCTAACAAACACACCGAGATATCAAGTACACACCAAAATGGTGTCATTAGGATAGCAACAATTGCCTTATGGGTCATCACTTGCCCCCTTGCCTGTCCCCTTGATACCTATAATAGGCATATTCTATAGTTGGGGCATGTGATAGAATTACTTTCCTTTGTAGGTTTCTCAAATCTCAAGTTCCATAATGAGGCATTTGAGCATGTTTATTTGTATACTTTGCATATACTTTGCATAGTGTTTTCAGTCATGCAGTTTCAACAACCTTCTGGGTTAAGTTTTACCATTTCTTGCCTTCAAACTCTTGTAATAGTTTTTTTAAAAGTTATTTTTATTCTGCTTATAAAACAAATATTACAAACACAGTTCTTATGTGGAGCTGAGCAGGATATCCAGATCACAGGGACACAAAAAAAAGAGAGCATACTGTATATGTTTGATACAGCTGATGTGCTAAAGCATTGTACAAATGTTCTCAAATCAATTAAAAATAGTATTTTTTTAAAAAACCATCAGTCCTTTCTATTTTTCCCTTTTGGGTCCTGAATCTGCATCAACTTTTAAGTTATTACTACATTACACATTCATTATGATTAGGAGAACCATCCTTAAATATGTACTTTTCCCATATGCTCATCCTGTGGAATTGATAGGTTTCAATGATACAGTTTTGAATGTTTAGCTTAGCTGGCTTGGGGTAAGTTCTGATTAAACGTGGTGATGATATTAATAACTTTCTAACTGTACTAAGAATGGCAATGGGGAAAATACAGAAGCCTGAATCGTACCGGATTTAGTCTCAGCTACAAACCCAAGATCTACGTCAGGGGTGTCAAACTGGATTTCTTCGAGGGCCGGATCAGCATTATAGTTCTCCCCTCACCAAGGCAGGAAGTCAAGACAGCAACCAGTCCTTTGCTATTTCCAGGCTGGCCCCATGGCCAAATTTAAATATCTCTGATCTATGTAACAAACCATGATGACTTGACTGCTCAGATAGTTTTTTTCTTTTCTTTTCTGGGTGTTGTTGAGCTTGTCTATGATATACAGTTGCCTCATGTCAGTATGGAACTGAGTTTGCTTCAACCACCAGCAGCTCTCTGGTTTCTTGTATACTGTAAACATCTGGAATTGGAGCTGCCAGATGTTTCCTTTGTGTGTTTTGAAGCTACATGGCTTTGAAGAAACATGGAACACAACCAAAAAGCACATAGACCAAGATTTCATGTCCCCTTCTAAGTAATCCTCCAATACATATACAAGGGGTAGAAGGGAGCAAGTGTCCAGAAATCAAGTTGGTAGCCAGAACTTCCAAATACCCTGTACAATAATATGATGATTTATCTATGGAGATTCTCAGCCTTCCAGGTCATGGTTGTCCCAAAGGTGCATTTTCAAGAGGCAACTGGATTTTCTGGGTTTTTTTTATTGAAGACGTTTTGCTTCTCACCCAAGAAGCTTCTTCAGCTCTGACTGGATGGTGGTGAAAAGAAAAAACCAGTTGAAAAAGCATCTTTGAGGCAATATGACGGTTTATTTGTGAAAATTAATTAGAGACTTGAAGTTTCTCATGTGCTGATGGTAGAACTATACAAAGCTCAAAACAAAGGTGTAGAAATATATTCTTGCACTCTCTCCTCAAATCATATCTTTACAAGGGAAATTCCTCAATCCCATGCTGAATAAATATTTTCCATTGGACAGCTATTGTTCTTGCTGGCTCTGAATGTAGCTAAAATAGTTTTCTTCTTCCACAAGGCCAGTCAAGAATCTCAGCAACATCTTGCATTGCATTTTTGACCAGCTTGTCTTTGAGTTGAAACCCTGCCACCTTGTTCTAGGTGCACAAAGTCTGCATGCTGTTAAAACTATATGACTGTCATTCTTCCATGGTTTGCTTGTTTTTATGCTATGATGCATTTTCTATTGAGGAAAATTTACGGTCACTTTTCCCGCCATGACAAGAACATTGAGGCCCTTGAGAGAAAGTGGATGCATGCAGCTGCCGCATTTCCCTACGGTTCTTCCCAAAATCTCCCATCCACTTTATTTGCATTATCACCAAACCTTTAGAACAGAAAAATACCTGAAAATCTTGCTTCTCCATGATTTAAAGCAAGCATACTCATTTTGAAGTAATGAAGTAGAGGTAGTCCTCGATTTACGACCACAATGGGGCCCAAAATGTCTGTTGCGAAGTGAAACAAGTGAGTTTTGTCAAGTGAGTTTTGCCCCATTTTACAAACTTTGTTGCTACGGTTTTATTAAGTGAATCCCTGCAGTCGATAAGTTAGTAATCCGGATTTAAGTGAATCTGATTTTCCCATTGACTTTGCTTGTCAAAAGGTCACAAAAGTTGATCACATGACCTTGGGTCACAGCAAGAGTCATAAATATGAACCAGTTGCCAAGCATCTGAATTTTGATGACATGTGTCAACTTTGAATCGAACTTGGCAGAAGCTATTTTACTGTTCCTCAGTTGCCATGCTGAAGCGGAAGGAGGGGGACGACGAACCACAACGAAGAACTTTCTCATGGAAACCAAGGTCATCTCCATGGAGAATGGATAAGGTCGAGGAAGGAGTACCCAGAGAGCCCACCAATTGACCCAATTGACCAACGTGACCTGTGACCCTTGGGGATGGGTTTATTTCTTCTTTTAATTATACTTTAACTGTGGGAATTAGAGTTGGTTTTCCTTTAATCCATGCCGATATGATGTACTCATCAGTAAAGAAGTCCTTTGAGGTGGATTCAAGTCTCAAAAGTTCTGATTTGTTTGGGTCATTAGTTGGAATCTTGACAACAGGATTATGGGGAAGGTCGTAACTGTGAAAAGTGGCCATAAGTCATAAGTGGCCATAAGTGCCATTGTAACTTTGAAGTAAATGAACTGTTGTAAGTCAAGGATTACTTGAACAAAGGTAGCTTTCATTTGGACGGTGTACAAAGGTTGCCTTTCATTGTTACGCTAAAGTAGAAGGTTCTTGATAGCAGTTTCTTAACATGGACATAATGGAATCCTGATGGAAGAAAAGCCTCTTTCAACCTGGTGGGGAATTTTTTATGCTAGAGTTCAGCTCAGTTCAGAGAGCTGTTGCCCAATGTGTCAGAAACTAAGAATGAGATGTTGATCCAAGCAACAGGTTTTACTTGGAAACATTATCCAAAGCAGTACTTTGAACCTTTCTTCAGTGGTCATGTTAGATGTGATATTTATTAATAATAGAAGATGAACTAATGTAGGGCTGTCAAACTCCCAGCCCCGGGCCAGATGCGTCATGTGCTGGCCACACCCATGCCCGGTTTAATGAAGGGGAAAAAGTCCTGATACATCATGTGACGCTGCTGTGATGACATGAACTAATATAAATGACTCTACCAATCAGCTTTTTTCTGTCACCTCCTAGAATTCTAGGAGTGGGAAAGAAAAGGAAGAAGGGGAGGACCAAATGTCATGAAGGTAAGAAAATGAAAGAGAAGGAATCCCAAACAAGAGCAGATTTCTCCTTCTATTCCATCTTTCTTCCAGACATGTAATTGCATAATTTGCCATGAGATATGAAGAATGTAAGATATTTTACTCATTTCAACAATAATTGCTTGGAAGACTATTTTTCTGGTAAGAATAAGGTACATTGGAATAAATGTATTGTGAATAAGATTAATCTCTCACTCTGCAATACCTTGACTTTTGTATTTCAGGATGAATTATGGTTCTCTTTCTCAATGTGTGTGTGTGTGTATGTGTGTGTGTGTGTGTGTGTGTGTGCATGTGTATCTGGGTCAGCATAAGAAGAGCTTTGGCTCCTGGCTAAACAGAGAGAGTCATCTGGACGAGTTGTTGTGAGCAGAATTTTCTGCTGTTGGGAGAATTCCACCACAAAACAACATAGCATTGATCCAAATAACATAATAACATAACTGTTTGTGCTATGAAACTGAATCAATACAGAAGCATAAGAAACAATAATTGCAGTTTTATCCTTAGAGGCATGGATGCCATGCTTAACACAAAGCAAGCAGAGGGACTGCTAAATGAAGAAAATAATTTAATGTAAGCCCAAGATGGGGTTGAGGAGGGCTAGGCTGAGTGGAGTTCAGAGGTTATGCTTATCACCTCTTTTATTGCCATGTGAATTTCCAGTGTACTAATATCCAGTGTTATCAGCCAACTATCTGGTTTTAAAATCTCTTTCTCCGAAGCAACAGCAAATGTAACCTTAGCGGTGCCACCTAGAGACATTTCCATTTGATTGGGCATTTTAAATGCTTTCATCACCATTTGTTTCTTAGGTTTTCTGACTGTCCATGGGCTGTTTTTATCGAACTGTACCTCATGTGAAAAATGTCTTCTTTACACTGTCTGGCAGGGGATCCACTTGGTTTGTTTGAAGTCAAGATGGCCAGTACAATCAATAGAAGCAATGTACAAAAAACAAACCAACCTGAAAACCAGCAGACCTTTCCTAGCATCCAACTTGGATATTTTCATCTAGCAAATCATGATGTTCAAAATGATGACATCTTTTTAATATTGTTATTGTACATTATGTACTTGTGTCTTGGTATCTGACACATATGTAAGTTATAGTATTTGCATTATGATAGTGCCATATGTATATATAATCATTTGTCTGCTGTGCCTTCTCACAGATACTCTTTCTTGTTTGATAAAACTCAAAATGATGTTGGTTGAACAAAGGATCCATCTAGGCACTAGGGTTTGGTCTCATTATTAATATCAAGATTTTAAAGAGTGTATAGTTATTGTATAAATGAACTTCTCTACAAAACAACTAGACTAATCCATAGTAGTTAGAATCAAGCATCAGACAAACATAATAATAATTTTTGCTGCAGCGGATGTGAGATATTCTGTAGAATTCAGCCTAGAATGAGAATGATAGTCCAAAATTGCTCCATTGTTCAATGGATCAGCATGGCAAGTGATAGTGGTTTATGAATTGTGACCATGGCATGACAGTATTAGAACAGACTGCATATGAGTTCACATATATTTATTAATCATTTGACAAATATAACATCCAGCAATCCAGAAGAAACATTCATAGTATGTCTATGGAGATTCTCAGTCATCCAGGTCATGGTTACCCCAAAGGTATTTATTCAAGAGGCAACTGAACTTTCTGTTTTTTCTTTGAAGACATTTCACTTCTCATCCAAGAAGCTTCTTGGATAGGTAGCAAAATATATCCAAAGAAACACCAGAAATTCCAGTTGCCTCTTGAAAAAATACCTTTGGGATATTCAAAGTATAAAAAGAATCCCAGGTTGATTTTCTTACATCAGTAGGTCTACTGGAGTCTGGAGAGTAAACTATGTTAAAGTAAAAAAACCAATTTGTCTGTCTTCCTATATATAAAATAACTCCTGAAAATTAAAGAGCTTTTTCATTACATTGTTGCATCTGAAATGCTTTTCTATGTAAGTAATCCACACATTCACAAGCAAGTTACTAAATAATATTTTATTAAATGATATATGAGCTTGGATTTATCTACTTGACATAATTATCTTGGGAAGACTTAATGATATCATAATACATGATGCAATTTTACCATTTATATAATTACATCACGTTGCATCTTTTCTTACCAGTTCAGAAGCCTGTGCTACTTAAACTTCAGTTTCCCATATTGCCCTCCGCCCGCCCGATGAAACTAAACCAACTATGACATTAATTGTATTAAGGTAACTAATTTAGTTAATTTTTCTATTCCCCGTCATGGCCCTCCCAAAAGAAACAAAGAAATCAACCAACCAACTCCATTTCTGAAAACCTTTTGCATTTAAAGAGCAACCTCTATTTATGCTAATAGGCAATTTCTTCCATCATCATCATCATCATCATCATCATCATCATCATCATCTGTTCAAAGAATTTAGGGCTGTGCAGAGGAAGAAAATTCTTTCCTTAACCTGAATTATGCTACTTACATAATAAACAAAATACAACAAATCCTACAACTGAAGTCATGTCTAGCTTTAGACCAGGGGTGTCAAACTCAATTTCATTGAGGGCCTCATCAGAGTTGTGTTTGACCTTGGGGGACAGAGGTGGGCATGGTCAGGGTGGGCGTGGCCAACTTGTGTTGGGGGCTTCTGTTGTGGCCCAAGTACTCTGCCAGCAAAAACTGCTCCTGAATCTGTTTTTTGGTTATGACGGCCTTCTGCAATCCTCTGTCAGTGAAAACGGAGCTTGGGAGTGCAGCCTGTGTCCCTTGTGAGCTCCGTTTCCAGTTGTGATGGCCTCCTGCAACCTTCTGGCAGGGAAAATGGAGCTCAGGAAGGCCACACACAGTCCCCACAAGCTCCATTTTTGCCGGTAGAGGCACAGCGGGCAGGTCCTTTGCTGTTTCCAAGGCAGCCCTGTGGGCCAGATTTAACAACCCTGTGGGCCAGATCCGGTCCCTGGGCCTTTGAGTTTGACATCCCTGCTTTAGATAGTCCTTGTTAACGAATTTGAAACATATTTTATGGAAAAGCAAATGGGGTGCTCCACATGTTGCCAAATTACAATTCCCAGCAATTTTACCCAATCTGAGGTAAAGAAATTTGTGATTCAGCAATAAATGGACTATTACAGATTGCTTTCCCCTCACCTCATTAGGCAGAAAAATGAAGCGGATATCTCAACCAGCAGAAGGGTTGGGACTACATTTCCAAGAATCTTCATCCACAGAAGGAAGATGGAGGCATGATTAAATATTCAATTGAATAACATGTAAAACTGCATACATGGAGACATGACATAACACCTTTCTCTCTTTCTCTAACAGTTTAAGGGAAGATAGACTCTATGTGATTTTGATAGATTTTAAACAACCCTTCATGTCATACTGCTAAGCACTAAGACCTGGATAGGGCCTAAAATTATATCCATCTAAAATGCAATGCTCCATGAATACAATTCCCGCTAGAGAATTTGAATTCCATAAAAAGATCTGGCCATAAATGTCTGATGATCTCAAAATAGGACAAAACTGCTAATGTTCTGTTTCCTGGTAGTCGATCTAAGTCAAACAATGAGAAAAATACAAGGTTAGGGTAGACTGGGTTGCAATAAGGCATTAACAGTCAAGAAACATTTAGACCAGATTAATGCTCTGATTGCTGTCCTATGCTGTGAATTTTTCACAGACAGAGGGGAGTATTATTATGCACTATTGAACCCGAAGGACTGCTATCTGTTTCATGTGCCACTGGAGAGATCTTTTATGCCCCAAAGTGCCTTAATGACAAGCTGAATACAAGAAAGTGTATTCATAGTAAATAGCTTTCCCAATATGACTCAGCCAGAGTGGAAGAAAAAGCCCATAATGAGAAGGTAGTTAGTTTTTCATTCTCAGCTATTCCCTGTTTTTATCAGGTTTTGATATGTGTGTTAATCAGATACAACCAAGAGGCTTCATGAAACACGACTTTATTATGAATATCTAATCACTACTGAAGAAAAACAGGCCAACATAAAAGAATTCTAGGCAGCCTTGTATAGTTACATAGCTATGTTTTAATAAAGGAGGGAGAATCCACAACAGTGAATCAGTGATGGTGAGTTAAAAGACAACTCAAAAATATGCATTAGAACTTTCTTATTTCCATCTGATTTAATCCATGGTTCTTGTTGTCTGAATTCAATAGAATGCTTCTTTGAACCCAACAATGCAATGTAGTTACATCAAGTTAAAATTAATTCACTATTAGACAAATGTGAGAAAGATAATGGTGGTGGATTGGGGCCTTATGCTGCCTGCCTGAGACTTCCAAATTTAGGGATTATCAAAATTTGACAGGCTAGAATAATTGGTTTCTGAATTTGTAGTATTTATAATGATCAATATTTTATTGGCTACCCAAGGCTACAGCTGAATGGCAAGCCTGTGAAATCAGAGCACTTAAAGAAACAAATATATTTCAAGCTGTTATTTCTCATGCCATCCTCCTGTTGGTATTTACTAATGAATCAAGAGCCATTTTATCTACATCATGGATTGAAGATGGTGAGGCAAGAAAGTTAAATGATTTACAACTACTAGAATTGAAATGCAGCAGCAAGTTGGGTGCTTCAGGGGATGATGGTTGGGCTTCTTCCTACACAGCATTATTGTAAGTTGTATACCCACAAATACCAATTGAATCTCATTTGGAACATATTGCATATACAATAAGATTTTTGGTGAAATCTCATCTTGCTGACCAGCAAAGCTACTTTATGAATATCAACTGATATTATAAACAGGCCAACTGGTTGGTTAATTAACAAGCCTTTTGCTGTGGTTTCCTGGATTTTATTTCTTGTAAGCATCAGATAACTGGAAACAATGACCAGAAGAAGAAAGAAGAACAATGGATGTAGAACTTCCTACTACAAAATGTAGAAGTTGTGGGCATAATCTGGGTGTCTTTAAATGCAGATAAGATTAAAATCTGCCTGTCAAGTGTTGCTAATTACGATTATGTGCCATCAAGTTGATGACTCTTAGCAACTACATATATTTTTCCCAGGAACTAGTTAGTATAGATTAAGATTCACAAATATTCCAGTATGCTTCATGCTGTAGAACATGAAAGAAGATATTATTTCCATGATGTGGTGATTAGCCCATATTGGTTTCTCTCGATGCAGAAAACACTGGATGAAGCAACCTGACCCAACTTTATCAATTTTGATTGTGGTGTGTGTTTGTGTCTAGGCTGATCATTCCTTTGCAATTTTTCAGAAAAATTACATACTCTCTCCAACATGTAGTTTTGTTTTCCAAAATGCATTTTAGACTCCTTGGATAATCCTTTTCCCTCCTGAGTATTATTTAAATGAAACTTACCTCAAGTGAAGCTCCAACTGTGAGTAAAGGAAGTGAATGAAAGCTCTCCTAGCAACAATTTCTGCATGGCAATCATTGACCACGAGTCCTTGATCATTAAGGTATTCTCCATTTAGGCATTTGGTGCCTGAGGAGAGCACAATAACCTGAGCCTGCTGAATGTCCATACCTGTGGGGAGGAAAAAAAACAGCACACACAATCAAAAGCTCATAATGGCTTGAGATCATGCTTTCGTGTAGCCCCAGAGATGATTCTAAATGGGTGATTATATGGGGATAAATAGCAACCATTGTTTTCATCACATGTGTATGGTGCAATAAATGTATGATCTGTTTTAATATGGGCCACTAATTCCTACATCCAAATCAACCCAAAAGTTTACTTTTTAAATCATTAACCAGAGATGATATATCCCATAAGGAAATAATAAAGATATTCCTACAACCCAGATGAACAATAATCTTCCAGGAACTTTATTTTGTTGTTATCACTGCCATTCCTTTTTTATGATAGAAATATACATCCTACATACAGCGAGCTTTCATTTCCTTAGGATTGGTATGACTAATAAAAAGTGAGTTTTAGAGTGTCTTTTCTTTATATCATGTATATTTTAATGCATAATTCTCTAGTTCAACTATTGAATGTGTATTTCTTTATAAAATGGGAACAGTTATCAGGCTTTGCTCCCTTGCTTTGCAATATGGCTGAAGACCCATATATCCTTGAGAATGTCCAGTGCAAATGGAATTTGCCAGTCCAGGAGAATATGAGATGCTGTGTTTTGTCCATAGTCACCTCTTTCTTTTGGGACAGTGCACTCCAGAGATATTCTGCACCAGCTGTAGCTTCCAAATAACTTTTCAAAGGAGCCTCATGTAGGGCATGTTACAATAATCCATCTGACAAATTATGTATCTACTATACTTGAGGGCTATGGGCATTCCCAAATTCCAAGCTCTCCTCAAGCTCTCATCTGATGAAGTAGGACTAAGAGGTCAAGGTTCAGAGTCATAGCTAGGGAATAAACCATTTTCTTAGATCAAGCTACTTCACTCAGTTGTTTTTGTGAGAATAAAATTTAAGATACACATCACTACAGCAGTTGTTGCATACATAGACAGGAGCGTTATATTTAAACAATTCCAAAGTCTGGTTAGAAAAAGCATAGTATGTTTAGATGCCCTCAAGTATTAAGCTATAAATGGTTGAAAGTAATTTGCTCATAATCTCCTTCAGCAAACCATTGCTTTATTCTTGTAAACTAGGTGAAGGATGCTGTAGCCTAAGTAAAACTCAAGTAATTAAATAACTATTAAAAAGAATTAATCTCAGGAGACATGCTGCTTTAAAACTACATGTGCGTGCACTCACATACACATTTCTATTTTTATCTTGCTTCAACTCAATGTTTGCTTATTAAAAGACTCACTTTCCCAAAAATAATGGTAATTAAGCCTGGGAAACAGTATTTTATCCTTGTTACCGCCTTGATGCCTGTTTTATCTATTTGGGAAAGAATTTTGAAAGTGTGTTCTATAATTTTTTTTATGAAATAACTTAAGGGATGATGAGAGTGGGTGGGAGGTGAACATAAAGAAACAACTAGGCTGAATGTCAATGAATTTAAAACTGGTTGGGCTTTTAACATAGGACTGAATTCTTAGAAAAATTTCTAATCGGATCACATTGCAAGAGAATCAAAGAGACAAAACTGAGATGGGTTGAAAAAATCAGACATTATCTGTGAAGACACAAGCATCATCATCTGCAAGCATAATTTTCCCCAAATCTGTTTGGGAAAAACTAAGCACAGCAGGCTAAGTATCATGTAGGGCCAGAGGTTAGAGTGCAGTACAGCAAGCTACTTCTGCTGCCTGCCGGCTGCCTGCAATTTGGCAGTTCAAATCTCACCAGGCTCAAGGCTGACTCAGTCTTTCATCCTTCTGAGGTGGGTAAAATGAGGAGCCAAATTGTTGTGGGCAATATGCTGACTCTGTAAACTGCTTAGAGAGGGCTGCAAAGCAATGTAAAGCGGTATATAAGTCTAAGTGTTATTGCTATCATTTTTATGGAAATATTGAAATATGACAATAGTGCAGGAAGAACAGAGGGAAACACAGGAGGCTATTGATCAGCATATATATGTATGT